ATGTATGTATGTATGTATGTATGTATGTATGTATGTATGTATGTATGTATGTATGTATGTATGTATGTATGTATGTATGTATGTATGTATGTATGTATGTATGTGTGTATGTATGTATGTATGTATGCATGTATGCATGTATGTATGTATGCATGCATGCATGCATGCATGCATACATACATACATGCATACATGCATACATACATACATACATACACACATACATACATACATACATACATACATACATACATACATACATACATACATACATACATACATACATTGCCTTTCTCCTTAAGAAAGACGCACGGCAGCAGCTGGCATCATGAAAAGACAATATTTAAAGCTAAAAACAGCAAGGATACAAATATTAAGCAGGATCAAACTGATACCACCACTCAAATAGAGTAAGCAAAAGTAGTTTGTACCAAAAACCCAGTCAAGGCAGTAAGGCACAACCATCCCCTACTCAGGCAGCCGGTCACTCGGGGAACGCTTGCCAGAAGAGGAAGTCCTTTGCCTGCCTGTGGAAGGACAGCAAAGATGGGGCCAAGCCTGGCCTCTTGTGGAAGGGAGTTCCAAAGTCTGAGAACATTAACACAGATGGTCCTCTCCTGTGTCCCCACCCTGTGAGGGTGGCAGGACTAAGAGAAAGGTCTCTCCTGGTGATCTTAACACCTGGGCAGGCTCATAAAAGGAAATGTGGTCCTTGAGATAGCTTGGTCTCAATACGTCTGAGACTTTATATGTTACATTTTCAAACTATAAATTCCATAATCCCCCCCAAGCCGCCTTGAACCTTGCCTGTGCTACCAAAGCAAGTGGGTTCCCAGTGACAACACTTGGAAACAAACAAATCTGTGCGTTTTTGCACGAAAATATTATATTTTGAGCAAAAGAGAGGGTTTTCTTCACACAGCAGAGGTTGGTGGTGAAAAAACAGTCCCATTATTATTGTTGTTTTTGTGGCAAACAAACATACATACAAGCAACTAAATGCCAAGAATGCCCAAATTGCACAAAAACATCCCACAGCTTCACCCAGGGAAAAGGAAACTTTTGAATGGCTTGGGTCTTGCAAACGAAAACAGAGTAAGATAAGGAATTTAGATCCCTCCTGTTCCTTCCTGCTGAAATGTGGGGGCTGGGGATAGGCATTGTGTTTTTGGCAGAAATGAGAGAATAGGATCGTGGGCGGAGGGAGGGGGACAACGTCCGGAAAAGTCACTTTTCCGAGCTTTAAACAAACAGCAGTAACGTCTGGGAAAGAGGGAGAGAAGGTGTACGAGAGCAAGAGAGACTTAAAAGGAATTTTCTCCTCTCTGAGGCTGCCGAATAGATCTCGTCCTTGCCATAGGGAAAGTATTGGATTCATTAGTGGCTCTTTGTTTACCTAATTAATTGGCCATGTTAAGTGATTAATAAGATAAATATTGTTCTTCCCCATTAAACTAAAGACCAATTGCCAGCCTGTCTCTCCTCATCTGGTAACTGAGAACTGTGTGTGTTACACCATGCCTTTCGGCTCTCTTTCCATGCTGAGTAGCTTTTTTCTGACTGGTTGGAGAAGCAGCCTCTTTCAAGCCTCTCTTCCCGAAGCCATCTGGCTTTGTGTTTTTGCCTCTTATTTGCATTTCATTTATATGGTACTAATTACTTGTTTTTTGTTGTTGCTGTTGTGTCTGGAATCTGTTCTGGTTTTCAGCAGGGTGGATAAAAATCAAAATTTTCCCCAAAATTAAATTATTTCTATTGCAATTTAAATGTTAAGAATCATTTTTTATTTGAATCATTAAAAAAATCCAGTTTCTTGACCTAAATTGTGACATAAATCAAATTCAACCTTGTTTTAAGAAAGAGAACGACCACTTTCGAGTTTCGTTTCCACTCTTCTTGTTGTTTGGTTTTTAATGTAATTCATTATTGTTTCTGCTTGAAACAATTCTCTCTCTCTCTCTCTTTTCTACATTTTTCAAAAGTGATATTGTTTGCTGCCCCGGAAACTCCTAGTGGTTTCAGATGTTGGCTATACACTGAGTAATATGGTTTTTTAAATGCATTTATAAATCAAAAGAAAAGAAAGAAAGAGAAGCAAAGTAAGGAATAAGGTCCAAGGTCCACAGAGCCATGGTAACACACACACACACACACACACCTACCACACACACACACACACACACACACACACACACACACACCTACCACACACACACACACACACACACACACACACACACACACATCACACACACACACACACACACACACACACACACAGCACGTATTTGCTGCTGTTATGAAGGGAATCCTTCTATTTTGCTCACGTTGCAATATTTGTGAGTGGCATAATTAATACGGGTAGATGCTATAAGACAACCATGAATTATCATAATAATTTAGAGCTATCAAGTCAATTTTTGCCTTGATGGCTGTCCTCCTACTGGGTGCAATGGTACCTGATAAATACAGTAGGACCCCCTTATCTGTGGGATCAGTATCCACGGTTTCACTTATCCGTGATCTAAAATGCTAAAAGGAAAAAAAACTCAGAAATATGTCTTTCCACAATCTACAATGCTAAAAGAAAAAAAAACTCAGAAATATGTCTTTCCACAATGTATTTACCAGAGCTGGGTACTAGAGGGAGCCAGAGATCATGCTGTGTATAGGGTTCGCTATTATTTGTGGGTTTTGGCATCCAAGGGGGGCTTGGAACCAATCTACCACAGATATGGGAATCCTGCTGTATAGCAACACTTTATTAGCCTACCCAAGTCTGACACACTCCATATACTATATTTTGGACTACATTTCCCATTTGCTAGTAGGCCCAGTAGCCAGAGACGATGGGACTTGTAGCCTAAAATAACAGTTTGCAACTTTTGATTCTTCCAATGCTTTGGACTTTACCTCTCAGGAAGTCTGATTCTTGGCCCCACTGGATGGAGGTTGTGGGGTTTGGAGCCTAAAACTGCTAAAGACTGAGTCTCTTTGATCTAAAACCTCTGCAGGCTCCCACATGGGGGGTGAGCAATGCAGTTTCTGGTGTCAGAAGTGTACAAACGGGGTGCAGAGGGGGAAGACGGCAGGGTCAGGGGCTGGTTGAGAGATGTGGCATCGTCAGTTCTGTCCATGACCAAGGAGATGGGCTGTTGGCTCATGAAAAACATGATGGGGCTGCCTCTCACCACATCTGTCACGTGACACCGTGGCCTCACTTTTGTCTAATTACTCCAATAGAAGAGACAGCCCTTGGAGATGAGCATAATATACATTTTCTTAAGCCGGTAAGGCTGGATCTTGGACGGAGGGTGGGGTGGCAAGAATAATTTGTTTTATGGCCATTTGAGGGCTTCTGGGTCGATCGCCTCCTTCTGTGCAACTGGCTTTGAATGTGCATCAATTACAAAGAAAAAAAAAGAAAAGTAACCCTCCTCCCCCTGTTGCTGTTCGAGAAAACTCTTTCCTGCGCGCAACGGACATATTTTGAAGTGAGCAGAAGCCCAGGAGTAGATCTACAAGGTTAATGGGTTCACATAAATGAAACTGTGGGCTGCTTTCCAAACTTTAAAATCAATGCGAGTGACTGACTGGCTTGTGTGCTAGTTTAATGGTGTGTGGCATTAGTAGCATCTAATCTTTGCACTCTCTCTCTCTCTTTTTTTTCCTTTAATTGCAGGCTGCCAACAGTTACCTGAGGGATCAGTGGTTTCACTCATTGCAGTGGAAGGTAAGACCTTTTCCCTTTCTAGAAAGAGCACACCCACTTTAGCTGGTTCTTTTCTTGAAGAAGAATATTCTATAGATCCGTCTCTCATCCCATGACCTACCTATGGAATTCTGCAGCTGCAGGCACTCGGAAACCTTTCTGTGGACATTCCTGCCCCTTTTTGGAAGCCAAATAAATTCTAATTCAAGCCCATTAAATGTTTATATCTTTGGCAAATGGTCTAATATATATCCCCTCTCTGCTTTGTTAATCAGTCTCTTTCTCTGGATCATTTACTCTCTCTTTCTCCCTCTCCCTCCCTCCCTTACTAACTACCTATCACCTAATCAATATATCTATCCATCTAATCATTATATCTTACCTATTTAGTTGATTATTCTACCCATCCATCTGTCTAACCGATCTATCTGTCCATCTGTCTAATAAATCTAATTGATTTCCATCTATCTAATCAATCTATCCAGTCATTTAAACAATCTATCTATGATCTGTCTGTCCATCCATCTGTCTGTCTAGTATCTACCTAGCTTGTCTAACTTGTCTATCCATTTACTTATATCTATCAGTTCATCCTTCCGATTTATCCAAATGGTATTCGTCCATCTGTCTCACTGACTAATCTGTCACCATAGGTGACCAGGAATTCCATTGTGATGAGGGAAGACACTGGTGGAGGAGAGAAAGTGCAAGCTTGGAAAAGTTATGATCTTGCAGGTTGCAAGATCCCAAGTCACTTTTCTGAGTTCTGAGGTCTCGCTGGGTCTCTTCCCCAGCCTGCTTAGTTTCTGAGCTAGTCCTCCTTGGTCGCTCCTTCCACGACAAGCTCAGAAATGTAGCAGGGTTGATTGATGGGGGAGAGGGTCAACTGACGCCCTCCTTGCCACCTTGCTTCAAAGTCCAGTTGTTTTTCAGGAGTTCATGAAGAGATCCCCAATCTCTTGTCCCTTCTAAACTTGTACTAGTCTGGAGAGGCTAGAGAATGAATGTAGACCTCTGAACCTGCAGGCAAGAGTTCTTCTTTGGACTACAATTCCCAGAATCCTAGATACACTTATACTGGGGAGTAAATCCCATTGAACACAGTGAGATTTATGTCTGAATGAACACTAAATTTGTGTTTAATTTTTAATTTTATTAGATTTCTATCCCGCCCATCTAGACCAAAGGTCTACCCTGGGCAGCAATGTTTATTTATGTTCACAGATGATTACGTTCAACCCCAAACAGCCCATTTACTAGTTGGGTGTTCAGATGTAGGTTGGAAAGCATAGGAGAATGGTGTGTGTGTGTGTGTCTCAACTGTGAACCCATACGTTGTATTCTGTGTGGTGACCGGAAACCTGGAGTTTGGGGTACCAAATAGCCCATAACTGGTACTGTGCAAATGTTTCTCATCATGTTGAAGAGAGTGGAGGTGGTTAAGACATATCATTGTTTTTATCATCTTAAGATGCAAATACTGTTCTTACACTAACTGTGGGACGAGATGATTTTACTTGTCTGGGGCCAACAAGGAAATGAATGTTGCCAATTTTGGGGAAGGGAGTGGAGTTTGGCGGCTTCTGTAGGCCTCTTTAGAAGGCTAGTGTATCCTGTCCCTTTTCCATCATCACAATCAAGTTGGGGTTTTCTGGTGTTCCTTTCTTGTGTATCAAAGAGATCAACCATCTCTTTACCATCCGGTCAGGCATTTTTGTGGCCAGGGCTGTTTGCTGCTTACCAATTAGATTTGTACATGACAACAGGGCATGCGTAAGCTGGCAGTGGGAATAATGGAAATGGAAGTGAATGAGCAGAATATTTTAGTTCGTTAAAGCTGAGATTTTTTTTGCTGACTTCTGTTTATCCTTGAGCACAAGGCTGTGCCATTAGTTGTGTTGGCTGGAACTTCTGGGGGTTGAACTTCCAAGATGGCCAAGAACATCTGGGGACCACTGGTGTGAAGCATTGTGGAAGCAATGATTGGAATTCCTGAATGTCACACTTCTGTATTTATGCAGTCTTGCAAAACATGGCAATCATTTGTTCGCTAGTCTGTGCTTGGTTCAATTCTTGCTTAATGCCTGCCTTCATTCACTTAAAATTATGATTTCTTAGTTATACATCTCCCCTACCCTTGCTGCTTTAGGACTGATTCAGGAAAAGATTTCAATACCACCAATCCACACCGTCTTCCTTCCCTGTTGATCAGGAATATGAGCCCCTAGGACGTTGGACTACAGCTTTCAACATGGGCTCCTTGGGTGTTAAGACTACAGCTCCCATCCTCCCCTCCCCTCTGGCTATCCTGAACTTTGTTATATATATTCACAGCATAGCAGGAATAAGGATTTCTGCTGGGTGCTTTCCTTTAAAACTCCCTGACAAGCTCCGGGTTCCCATCTAGCAACACCTCATGCCCCAATAAGCTCAGGCCAATGTATTTTATAGCTGGGTCTCTCGTTGGCATATACGGGTAGTGTCTTTTAAATGTTTTGCAGCTGATTTCCTTCCTTCCTTCCTTCCTTCCTTCCTTCCTTCCTTCCTTCCTTCCTTCCTTCCTTCCTTCCTTTGAGTAAGGGTTTCTTCTTTACGTTGAGCTGTTTACCTTGGAGGAGTATCTCGTGGTTTTCAGAAGGCTTATTTATGACAGAAGCAAAACCACAGTCGGGGCACTAAGCTGAGCATTTCCAGAAAGTGTGTCTGAGGCTGTGGTTCACAGACAACATCCGTAGGAATAAAAGAGGCCTTACTCAAAATACGAGCTCCTTGAAAGAGGATATGGCAACGAGACAGGGGGCATTTTAAAAGTAGATTGGAGAACCATAGGTTCAAAAGCTCTTTTCTAGACCCCCAGGAACTGGGTACGTTATTCAGGTGATGCCCCTATTCTGTATGTCCAAGGAGAGATCTGGAAAAAGATGTCAGATCCGCTGCTCTACATTTGGGGGAAAGCATTTCCTCTCTCCAGCACCAACTTTGAAAAAGTTCCCTTCTTAGGAAATTTTGCATATTTTAGTGGGGAAAAAGTAACTTTTCATACTCTGTTCCAGTAACAAAGGGACCTCTGCCCACACGGCCAGCAGCACCAGTGAATGTTGTATATCAACAGCGAATTCCTTTTCTGAGTATAGATCTGTGTGTCACAAAATTCACCTCCCAAGGTCACTGGTTCCACTGTCATACTGCTCTAACACCTAAGGGGAAAAAAAGAAAGAAAAAATATCCCCCTCTAGTGGTAGAAGGCGGAATAGCAGCTTCCCATTAGTTTCTATGGACGGAAAAGAGCAGATACAGATTAAATGGTTTTCAGTGCATTCCTATGGGAAATGTAGATTCTACATAAGAACTTTTCCACTTGAGAACCACCTTCCAATACGGATTAAGTTCTTAAGTAGAGACCCCACTGTACGTTATTCAGGTGATGCCCCTATACTGTATGTCCAAGGAGAGATCCGGAAAAAGATGCCAGATCCGCTGCTCTACATTTGGGGAAAAGCATTTCCTCTCTCCAGGACCAACTTTGAAAAAGTTCCCTTCTTGGATTTCAACTCTCAGACTCTAGGACATTTTGCACATTTTAGTGGGAAAAAGTAACTTTTCATACTCTGTTCCAGTAACAAAGGGACCTCTGCCCACACGGCCAGCAGCACCAGTGAATGTTGTATATCAACAGCGAATTCCTTTTCTGAGTATAGATCTGTGTGTCACAAAATTCACCTCCCGAGGTCACTGGTTCCACTGTCATACTGCTCTAACAGTTAAGAGGTTTTCCCTGATATTCAACTGAAATCTGGCTTCCTGTAACTTGAGCCCATTGTTAAGTGTCCTGCACTCTGGACTGATCAAGAACAGGTCCTGCCCCTCCTCCATATGACTACCTTTCAAGCTTTCAGAGGGATTTGCTTGGCACTCTCCTGTGCCAGGCTATCCATATCGGTTCCTCCATGGTTGTGTGTGAAAATGAGGAAAGGCCTTTTGGGCAAACAGCCTCTGCAGAACAAGGATTCTAACAATGGGATAACCTCTCTGCGGCGATGTGCATTTTATTTCTAGTTAAGGAGCAATTTCATTTCTCTAAATTTGTGCTGTATATGTTGGTAAACACAATTTTATGCAAAGCAGCATCATATTCTGAAAGGCATCAGGGACCACCCGTGTGTGTCCCCACTTTTTACACACCTGGTGTCAGCACAGGTGGTTGTGAGGCGGAACCAGGCACGGGGGGGTGGGCAGGACTTTGACCAAACCCACGGGCTCACGGGGAAAAGTTTCGACAGGTTAGGGATACATTTGGTGTATTTTATTTTCTAGCACATAACCGGGAAAGAGGGAGTGGAGAGAGGCCATACCTGAAGTATCCTTATGGCACTGTTGCTGTGGTTACGGCTTAAAAATAGGTCTGTTGAGTGAACCATTTTTGTTTCTTGTTTTTTTTTTTAATAAAAAAAAACACCCTGTAAATGGTGACATCAAAGGCATTTGTTGCCTTTTAATCCGGCGAGAAACGTGTCCTCAAAGACGGGAGACCCTCCTGTCCCAGGCTATCCATATCGGTTTCTCCATGGTTGTGTGTGAAAATGTGGAAAGGCCTGTTGGCCAAACAGCCTCTGCAGAACAAGGATTCTGACAATGGGATAACCTCTCTGCGGCGATGTGCATTTTATTTCTAGTTAAGGAGCAATTTCATTTCTCTAAATTTGTGCTGTATATGTTGGTAAACACAATTTTATGCAAAGCAGCATCATATTCTGAAAGGCATCAGGGACCACCCGTGTGTGTCCCCACTTTTTACACACCTGGTGTCAGCACAGGTGGTTGTGAGGCGGAACCAGGCACGGGGGGGTGGGCAGGACTTTGACCAAACCCACGGGCTCACGGGGAAAAGTTTCGACAGGTTAGGGATACATTTGGTGTATTTTATTTTCTAGCATATAACCGGGAAAGAGGGAGTGGAGAGAGGCCATACCTGAAGTATCCTTATGGCACTGTTGCTGTGGTTACGGCTTAAAAATAGGTCT